ATTCGAAGGTCATGTAAAATCAAATGGAATTAAAGGCCGCGAGTTCCAGCCTAAAGATTTAATTTGCCGAGACCCTTGGAGTTGAGGCACTCTACAGATATTGCGGTACTCAAACCGTAAGAGCTTTCAAGTTATGGTTCAAACTAGTTACATTCGGTGTAACAAGTGACCGCTGAATGTTTCTTAGGACATTACATACCCTTGAATGTATTCGGTGAATGTTGCCACAATTTAAGTCTATTCTAGTGAGAGGCCATGGACAAAAAAAAAAAAAAAAGACACATTTCTCAATTAACATAACCTTCTTTATACCCGAAAACGAAATTTTTAACAGTGTTAAGGTTTTTCTAAAATTTTATTTATATATTTACCTTTTAAAAAAAGTGTGGGGTCTACAATTTCTGAGGTCCGCAAGTACCGGAGGTGCCACGGTTTACTGAGACGCTTTCGAATTTGACCAGATGATGACCTCTTTTCACAGGAGGCGCCGCCTTATTTCTCTTCGGTGGTCTGTTTTTGTTATTGCTTTGTTTTGTTGTTGTTGCTTTTTTCGGTGATCCTTGTTAATTTGGATCTTCCTCTGGTTATTTTATTTTTCACATCAACATTGGTAATCTTTTACCTGCGCCCGAGAATTTCAGTCCCAGGTGTTCAAATCCCCAGTGTCCATCAAAAATATTGTCAATTGTCTGTTTTCTTACTGGGTTACGGCCTTCTTTATAAATTACAGTAGCCGCAGCTTTGAACCATTAGTTAAAATTTATGCACGATTCAACGTATAAGTTTTGACGCCTCCGCCAACTTCTATGAATATGTTTATGCTGGTGTGAAGATCTTGGAAGGGAGGGTGGTGTTTCTTCTTCTGCCGCTGTACGTTAAATTGGATTAGAGAGTATGCGTAATTTTTAAACATTTTGGTCTGTCTGAGATAAGATAGATGCTTCAATCTTAGTTTAGTCATCAACATTCCCTCTACCCACTCCCACTGACACCAAAAAAATTCAACGACAAGTACAAAAATAAAAGTGATAGGAACTTCGGGGTTGAATGGAGAAGATTTTACATAATTTCCATGTTAACGTTTGTTAAATTAAGAAGTATGGCGGCAAATTGTCGAAGGTACAACGCACCGTGACCAGAGTGTAAATTGAACTAGAACAGCTGTTTAATTTTGGAGCAACTGTAGAATACCCTGCCACTTTGGTCCACCTCATTTACATGTGTCATGAGGTTTTGAAGATCGAGGCATAACACAATATAGGTTTTTCTTATTCAATGACATGTAAATGATGGCAGGGTATTGTGCAGCTTGGCTTTATTTTATTGTAAGACAGTTTATCAATGCAGGCAGTCGAACGAATCGTTTGAAAATGCTACATTTTGCTTTGCTTGCAAACAGTCGAACTTTATATTCGTTTGCTTAAGTTTCACTTTTACACAGTGAGATATTTCAACTGCGTAATTGTCGAATAAAGGAAAACCGTTACGGTGTTGTTTTATGATTATTGCGATCCAAAGGAAATGTCACGTCATGGGATTATGTTTCCTAGGCGTATAGTTTTTAAGCTTCTACTTATCGAAAGATGCGTTTTTCATTGTTTCCTTTAGCGGTTTATATCCGTCGTCTAAGACCTATTGCGACGGACTTGCGAACTGAAATTTATACTTATTTGCATAGCCACTGAGGCAACTCAAGCGAGGTGGAAATGGTGTAATTATAGATGTTATTGATAAGCTCATGCCAAAAGATGCGGAGATCCTGGTGATATGGGGTCTATACACTAGGAAGCTTGAACAGGGACTTGAGAATTTGGATCATCAATATTTAAGTTCGGGTTTAATTTCGTCATGGCGAAGTCACCAGGTGGTATTTTGCGGTCGGAGTAGTAAATACGGGAAACAGGCTGTCTTTCTGGGGGTTGTAATATTTGCAAACGGCTAAATATCTTCTTTTTTTTTTTCGAAAAATTGACAGAGAATTGACTTGATGAATTTTCCCGCGACCATCCGTCGGTACAGAATGTGATAAAATAATAAAAAAAGTAAATACAAAATGGAAAATGCCCTTGACAACTATTTTAGCTGGTTGACCGATCATAATACACATAATAATTTCCATGAAAAAAAAAAATTCAACGTCATTTTTTAAAAAGTTTTTTAAGATAGCAGCGTGCGAATTAAGGATTCAGTTTCAGAAAACAGGTCATAAGCAAACAACCTACAAATGTTTACCTCTAACTCCAGAGAATCACTTGCGTATGGGGTGAAAGAAGAAACTTTAGGGCATGATTCCTTTCAGTGTATATGGTAGTGTGCTTGTTAACACGCTTGCAGCATCCAGTATGATGAATTGAAAAAAATTCAAAATTAGCATTTTTTAGTTATTACTTTTATTTACTCAATAAGACTGATGTAAATATATCAAATTTTATTTTCCATTTCATATATGAATCAGCCATCACTTTTAGACCATTAATCGTTGGGTCGCTAATCCGGCGTAGAACTCCTTTTAAAAGCTTCCGTCTCTGAAATGGTTTAAATCCGCTTATTCTTTATTTTCGGAGACACTACCACACACATTAGGACAAGAAAAATTTATAGATTCTGAGGACAGCAGTCATTCCACGAGGTTATTCGTTGGTCTCTTTAATTTTCGGCGGCAGGGCGAGTTTATCTTCGGAATTTTTAGGTGAGTTGAGTTTCAACGGCCAAAGCTGTTTTTTCCCCTTTTTTAAGTCATGCAGCGGTGAACTGGTTAGATATGAAAACAGTCTTAGTGTTTTAGAGCCAAATTATGCGCCACACACAAAGAGAACCTAGATTAATAAACACCTTTATCCCTGGATGGGTGCGGTTTAGACTGCGATTCGAACTTATAATTTCAGTTCTTGTTTTTAAACAGACTTGTGTTCGATTTAAGACCAAATGCGGTTGAACAGTTCAAAAGTATATAGTGTTCATCCGATTCTAAGAGGCCATTATGAATTGATATCTTGTGCTCGATCAAATTATGGATGATAACATTGGGATTTGTCCTGCTGTCAATCATAAGAGTTCGATGCTATCTGGAGTCGTAATTTATTTGGTTTTCCCCTTTGTGTTCAGCATGTGTCACGTTAGCTTTAAACTAGCGTGACACATAGTCATTCTTGTTACTCTGTATAAGTTTTTCTTTTCTTTTCTTTTTTTCTGTCTTTCTCTCTCTCTCTCTCTCTCTCTCTCTCTCTCTCTCTCTCTCTCTCTCTCTCTCTCTCTTTAATAAGCCTTTTACTAAAAAAAACAACAGCTATTATGGAAACTATTACCTTAAGGCCCATCATAACTTGGGTTGAAAGGATCTCAATGAACCACCTGAATGTGGTTTTTGAGATTGTTGACGTCATTCCTTTGATCGGCAGTAATGTTTCAATTCGTACACTAGAAGAGCAAGTTGAGTTGAAACATACATTATAAGACCATTTACTACTTTCACTTATTTATTTGTTTCTTATTTTGTTGGGTTTTTTGTTTTTTTTCGTTGGGGCTGATTAACTTTAATTCGAATTTTTAAATTAAAATCCATTCCAAACGGCCGTTTTGGATGTTCATTGTTTACTGTTTTAGGGAGCTTTCGGAGCAATACGTGATGAAAATTAGAAAAATCTTCAGGATTGTAATTACTTGAGTTCTTTCAATCAATTTTAACCTTGATGACGTAAGTTTAATCATTCTATACCGTTTACAACCCATTGTATCAAGGGCACCCCGGAAATTTTAAAGAAAAACTCGAGGCTTGCCAAAATTCTCAAACTATGCATCGCTTCGATTGTTTACGATCTAATAAGAAACGGGAGCCATCGGAACATTTAAAGCTCATTGGCTAATTTATTTTATTTCATCATCCTTTGCTCATTCTTGTGGCCGTATCCAAAAGTTATTGAAATACTTTTAGGAACAAGAATATGTGACGCCTTGATAAATTAATAAGACTCGGAAATTTGCTGTCACGTATCTACCACACTTTCTTCGATACGTACAACTTGCAATTTACCCACTCACGCTCGCTTCCTTTCCGACCTATTTCACTTACTTATTTACTTCTTCATTTAACATAACCAGCAACTGATGAGCAAGTTCTCTTCATTTCTTCGCAAAACTCTCAATATCTAACAGAGTAAGATTAAGTATTTTAAATAGAGTTTCCATCCATTACATTCTGGAAAGTTTTTATCTTCAAAGTGAAAAAGAAAAAAAAAAAGAGGTGCATGTTATGCTTATTTACTGCAAATATTTATAGTTATGGTTAATTTCAGGAAAGAAAGGCTTAAACTCATTATCACACCGAAGGCTTTTGGTTCCTTTTTCATATTTAGAATTGATCAGCTTCAAGAATAATTTCAGTAAGGTGATTAATGGGCCACATTTAAGGTGAAATGTGCACTCAACCAAAAAGAATCACTGATTATTTTTGAAATATATTCGAGTAGCTTTTATAACTAAAACTCATTGGAAGCTGAAGACTTGTTAATCCACTAAAAGCTAATGAAGAAATTTAACAGAGTAAGGAAGATTAGAAACAAAAAATAGTAACAGCGCGATAGTTGAATGATAATTCTGGTAATCAGCAGGAAGCATCTTTTGTTATTGAAAGTCAAGTGGCGGTCAGGAAATTTGAAATTTTCTTTTTATGTTCTCGAATTTTCTTTCTACGTTCTCGAATTTTCTTAAATCGATTATATTACAAACGATACAACAGCTAAACATCACATTCCATCAAAGAAGCAGGAGTGTTTCCAGATGCCGTGTTTCTCAGTATGGTCCAATATTGCAAATTACGGTGTCACTCATTGTTATTGATGCCCAAACAGAATTCTCGTATTAATGAGTTACAGCTGAGTATTAACATAACAAAATAAAGTTTGACTTGGATGTTTATTAAAAGTAAATATCGTGTCAAAACTGTTTTAAACCATTGATGGTTTGGAAAAGACGGCTGTTTTCTTTGATGAAGTATGCAATAAGTCCGTTCTTTCGACTTTCTCTCAACACGGTACGTTGTAATTTGGGTAAACAAACCGTGGAAGACCCCATAGGGTGCCAATATTTCACCATTTCGTCCAAAGAGACGACAACTACTCAACAGTCGACGTAAGGTGAGTTTTGCTCTGCACTCTATATGAAAGCAACCGTGTTATTACTCATAATATGCCTAACATTTTATAATTGAGCCTTCTTTACGGACAATTCCCTCGTCGCAAGGCATACCTAGAAATTTTGGTACGTTCTATCAGCTTACAGCATCATTTACGAACTGAGCTGTAGGCTTCCATATACACAGTATGTGGCTAATATTTCGGGTATCATACACAGTGAATATCTTTCTTATGAAAACCTATATTTCCGCTCTGTCGTAATATATCCTTATCACCCTAACTTCTGGATATATTAATTTGATCGAAAGGCTCGCTAATTAGATGAACTTTACAAATACGTAAGCAATTTAAGCAATATGTGCTATCGTGTTCCAAATGCGTAAAGTGTTAAGCAGCAGATTCGACTTTTTGTCAGTTCTAGGTGTGGGAGAAAGGAAGCATATTTTCTTGTTGCTGACATCAAGAAGTACACTCTTGAAAATTACGATGAACACTACAATAAACACTACAGATACAGAGAACTCCTCTGACGGTAAGTCGAATCTCAAACATTTTGCGTGATTGATAAAGGGCTTTGAAAGAAAGCATAGAATAATGTAGGCTGTCACGTAAACATTTTTTTCCTTATTCAACTATCGTCTACTCATTTTTACTGTGTTTACAAGGCTGATATGGCAACTCCTTCCATTTAATTCAACTCTTGTCGTTGTAAACGGCTGTGAATATATGAAATTCATATATTTGAACTGCGGATAAAGACGTGAATATGAAAGCGATCTTCACATTTATGAACACTACTTAAGCAGTAACGAAAAGAAGGCTTGAAAAAAAATTCAGGCCTGTACGGGATATGAATTTCATATATTTACAGCCGTTTATTCACCACTTCACGGGTTTATTTGGATCCCTTCCGCGTACAGTAGCAGGGAGGAGAAGGAAGGAAGCTCGTTGCATACTGACGTCGCCACGGTATGCAATAACAGGATGCTATTATTTAGCTGCGGTAGTCTCGGTGTATGTTGAAAGGAAAGGCACGTCGTCCTTGTTAAGACATTGCAGCACTGTTTTTCTTTACATTCGAGGCATTAAAATCCAGAGAACGTGTAGCATCTGTTTTGTCGCCTGTTTAATCTGTTCATCGCGAAGTTAGTTAGATAGCAAATTAACTTGCACCTTAAAAACCTGTCGGAGAAAATAACTTTGTAGTATCATGGGATCTATGCCAAAGTAAATCGCACTCAACGCCATCATGTGCTTATCAATCAAATGGCGTCATGCGATAATCAGTTTATCAAAAACTCTTAATTTGAATCCGTCAAATTTTGACGAGCTCATTTTATTGACTTTCTCCCGTCAGTTTTTATCTTGTATGCGTGTGACCTTTTTCTTCTGAGGTTAGGGGGCTTCAACATGCAGTCGTGCTTCCGTAGCCTTAGCATTTTTTCACGAGTTTTAAATTAAATAAATGCCATTTGATAGCGAGTCAATAATTCGCTGATTACCAAAAGAGCTTTCGTCATTATCATTACTGAATGACCACTAATGCCATGCTCGTGTGCGTCAATGGCCTCTCTTACTGTATAGGCACCTCTTACAAGGCAACTGAAAGAAAGCCGAAATAGATATGATTAAAACCGATTAATGAAGGCATAACAGGCTAAAAGAATCATTTCTAATGGACTGATTAGAAAGTACTCCCAATAATCTTATTTTTCGTGAGGTTGTTGTCTAGACTCCTTTAAAATCCTATTTGGTTCGAATTTTCGTGCTTTTATGTCGGAATCTAAAAAAATAATCACCAGATACAAAACACTGATTACCATATGAATCAGGAGAAAATAAACGATTTATTCATGTTGTGGCTGGTTGAGAGACTAAGCCGTCCAGAAAAAAAAAATGTTGTTCGAGTGTAACTAAAGGTTAATGATATGATTTTTAACACAGGGCACGGACACAAAAAAAAAATACATGTAAATTACTTTTTTATTCGACGGATTGGGAGGGCCGAACGGGAAAATATCTGACTCAAGATCATAAGATACAGGCTTTTCCAGACCAGCTCTCGTCAACTAGTCAGGCCCCATCGACGTCAGCTTTCACTCTGGTTTTCGGGAGCGCTGATTGATTAGAAAGTACTCCCAAAAATCCCATGCTGATCTTATTTTTCGTGAGGTTGCTGTCTTGACTCCTTTAAAATCCTATTAGGTTCGAATTTTCGTGCTTTTATGTATGAATCTAGAGAAATCATCAGATACAAAACATTGATTACCATATGAGCCGGGGAAAACTAGTGATTTTTTTTTTTTCGTTGCGGCTGGTTGAGAGGCTAAACCGTCCAGACAAAAAGAAAATTGTTGTTAATGATGTGATTGTTAACACACGGGGCATGGACGAAAAAAAAGTACATGCTAATAATTTCAGTTACTTCTTTTTCACTCGACGGGTGGGAGGGCCGGACGGGAAAATATTTGATTGGAGGTCTGGACATACGGACCTGTAGCGCAAGGAAACGCCTGACGACTTTTCCAGACCGGCTCTCGTCAACTCGTCGGGCCTCATCGACGTCAGCTTTCGCTCTGATTTTCGCTAGCGTGGCCGTACAGTTCTTTTGATGATGACGAAACATAGAAAAAGGGAAAAAAAGGCAGACATTGCAAACTTGCAATAACAAGAAAAACCAAAATAAAACAATACAGAGCATACCCCTCTGTTTGCTTTACACAGGGCAGTCACCTGGCCCCAGCTCTCTACATAAGACGATCTTCACAGTACTGTATTCGATGACCATATTTGTGGCAGTGGTCGGAAATCTTCTTCTGATCTTCATCATCAAAAGAAGACCAGAAACAAGATCGCTGACTGGTTTCCTGTTTGTCAACATGGCCGTCGCTGACCTTCTGGTGGCTCTGATTGCTATACCTGTCAACCTGCATATCCTGCACGGTGGTGGGGTATGGGCAACGGGAATGTTTGGAAATGTCACGTGTTCGCTTACGTTTTTCACGTTTTATGTCACACTCAGCGCATCCATTTTAAGTCTGTTGATTATGTCAGTGGATCGTTACTTTGCAGTTGCCCGTCCTCTTCACCGTTTTGAGACGTTTCGAAAGGCTAGAGTCCTAACTGTGTTTATTTGGTTGAGTGCAATGCTTTTCTCCATTCCAGCTGCTATTATTTGGAGGCTTGTTCATTGGCCTCAAACTGAGGGTTTGGTTTGCGGTCCAAAATATGAAGAGCTTGGCAAATTTGGGACGAGGGTTTTCTACACTTACCTCGTTCTAATTATGTACCTGATTCCACTTATCATAATAATTACCCTTTATTCTCGGATCTGCCTCACGCTTTGGCACCGAAGTATGCCGGGTGAAGCTTCGTCCGAAATTGAGAAACGTAACGAGATTACGAAGCGAAGAGTTGTGCGCATGCTCGTCATAATCACTGCTGTTTTCGCTCTTTGTTGGTTCCCGACTCACTTTTTTCATTTACTTATTGCATATCGTCCTGACGTCTTGTCGAAACTTCCGTATTACGTAATGATCCTTTGCTTCTGGTTGGGTCACGCAAACAGTGCGGTAAACCCATGGCTGTACATGATGTTAAATGAGAAATTCCGCATCGCCCTCAGTGCTACTGTACGCGGAAGGGATCCAAGAATGCGATCCGGCTCAAACAGAACCCAGTCCACCACAAAGTACACTTCAATCAAAGGCGGCAATTCGTTCAAGACAAGACAGTCAAATCGAGAAAAATCCAAAGCAGAAACATTCATGTGAGACGATATGCACTTAATCTAACCTAATGCTTATCGGACTTCTTCATGTAAAACCGCCATCAAATGTCCTGCTGCCATAGAAAGCGCGATTTACGACATTCAGTAATTTAGAGTTCTGCGTGCGATAGTGTCAGAAACGTTGGAGTGCAATTGATAGTTGATGGTTGTCATTGCCGTTTGACAAATTTTTCAATGTTCTCCCCCGCAAAGAGAGTCAGCACGTGAGGGAAGAAGAAGATCGAGTGATCCTTTGCCAATATTTCTATGTCGAACCTCCTTACCTGAGAACAGACGCAAGATTCTCAGACAAGAATTAACTGACTTAGCTATAGTTGCAACGATCCCTCCATCATTTGTTACTCAACGGTATTTGCTAGAATTTAAAATCCGTAAGGAGACACTGATTGAGCCCTGGTGAGCCCAACCTTGACCAGCGCGTTTTTTTGTTTTTTTGTTTTTTTTCGGTTTGGCGGCTCTTTTTTATCGAATTTTTTTACCCCGTAACCCTTGTGGATATAGTAAGGTTTGGTGCCGAAAACACTTTGTTTTGTTTATTGATAGTTTTTGTTTTTTGTTTATTATATTGTTGTTATAATCACTATTATAGAATGACTTATCAAAATCATGATGATCAGCTTGAAAAAAGGGCCACCGTGCTCCAGCCAATAGTGTTATCCTAATGCAAAAAAATTTGTTTAGTTATAAAACTGTTCTTAATTGTAAGTGTGTTTCTTCCACGCCCCACATTTATGCTGCCAAAGAAAGGAGACCAAGGCCAGAATTGCTTTCTGAGAGCATTCATTACAAGATATAAAATATGTAGAGCTTGACAAAGCTCACGATTTCATTTTTTTTTCCTTTTTTGCACTACTTTTTGTCTTCAAGCGCCAATAACTGAGAAAGAAAACCTTCCGAGGACATAGAGGCAACCTCCCGAGATCGACTTCGGTCCGCCTGAAATTATTGAGATCAACCATATTGCTCCAATCATTTCTTTGTTAAAAAAACAACTGGGGGCGCTCAAGACGAAGCGAAACGAAGCGAGCATTATGAGCAAGTCCTTCCCCGTGCGTTTCTTATCCTTTAAAGTTATCACCAGACTGAAGGCAAGACTCGTTTCCTTTAGTAACCCCAGAAGAGTTAGGTCGAAAGAGGTTTTTTCAAAAACATGCACAGATCATTCATTTCTCTGTTTGTTTACGCACCAGATAATCCTCGAATTCGGACGTGGTCACAATCATTTTTTACAAACCAAAAAGAGACCGCGCGGACACGCAATTTTTTTCTTTTGTTATGCGTCTAGCTAAATCTCAACCAATGATAAAGTGTGATACGAGCATGGGAACGTAATTCTAAGTATATGTATAGTAACCATATTATTAATTGCCATATCTTGAAATTATTAATTGATATTACTTTACAAAAAAGTGTAATAAACGCTTTTATTCATGATTTTAATCAGTTTTCAATCACGCCGTGACACCATAGCACAATACCACCGGTACAAGTAACATTGCGCGATTGAGGGAGTCGCGCAATGTTACTTATGCCGATGGTATTGTGGATCCTTGGTATGATGTCACGGCGTGATTGAAAACTTCAAGATAATATATCAGTCTAATTAAATTACAGCTTGATTCTCGTCTACGGTGTGACTTATTCGAGAGTCTATGGTTTTTCATTTAAACAGCCACGGTGGACTGAAAGCACGGACCTTCACACTCACATATAAAAGCCCAACTGTTAGTGCAAGGTACTGTGTACCATAGTGAAAATGTGGTATCCGGATGCGTTGCTAAGACAACACAGTCTCTTTGTTCTTCAGTTATCAAATCTTGAGGAAAGCCAGGTGGAAAGTTGAGAAATGGAGCTGGATTTGTGTCTCCATTCAGGCGAAAAACACCCTCCTCTTCTAAGTCCGTCACACCAATGTAATATCTTTGCCCTTAGAGAAGAGAAAAGATGAATTGATGAAAAGATATCTCGTGTTAGATTTTGATTCATACCACCTCATTAGTGTTTTGAGGAAGGCCCCTGCTCTGAGCCGCGAGATATACCTACTGCATTAAAGCTATTTCATAATAACATTTAGTTCTACGCAGAGCGAATGTACGAGTATAAATAGTCTGTTAGTCGGGAGCTTGTTTTCCTTGAGTCCTCATTGAAGCTATTTTGGAAATAATAACCTCAGTTTTTTTTCTATTTATCCTTCTTTTTCATTTATCTGTTTTTGGAAACATGTTCAAACAAGGGGAATGATGTTAATTGCAACGAGAAATCACAAAGAGAACCTACGGGAAAAGAGACTTCTGTTACCATCCTTAAACTTCAAAATTTAAAAAAAACCATAAATAAATAAATAATGAGTAACACTGATATTTTCTCGTCCTTTTCCTTCTATTTTTCTGTGGGTCTTGAAGATTTGACTGCATCAATAACTGGAGTGTGTTTTGAATTGACCTTTCAGAAGATAACTTGATCATCATTGAAGTTTGTCACACCGTGTTTTTATGGTACGTACCATTATCAGGGGCAAGATAAACAACTTCAGCATTCTCTTCAAGTGATCGAATCTCGATAAGATCTCCCAGTTTATTGTCTTTAGTCTTAAAGCTCATACAAAATGATCTTGCAGCCTCGAACGTTATGGTAGGGGTAAGGAAGAATCTGATACAACCACCTCTAAATGGAACAAAGTCCTGAGGACAATCTTGAGAAAATAAGATAACAAGAAACGGAAATTAATAACAATAACAGTGATGACGAAGTTGTTTACCATGATGATGATGATGATGGAAATATATATAGAGAAAGAACTTCCACTGCATTATAATAGTCCCACATGGAGGAATAATTATTCAGGTTTGAGAATCACCATACTTTTTGACTGCCAGTTGTGCACGCCCTATATTGTATGTAGGGAGACGGCTGACTGGTAACCTTCCCAGAAAAAAAAAAAAAAAGTTTGAAAAGACAAACTATGTTTTCATGAAAACCCTTCGCAAGAAGTAGTGGAAAAGGTAAAAATTGTCTTGAAGGAAGAAGTAAAGCTTCACAAGCAAAACTTGTGTCCATTTGCGTTTTTTTCCTTTGATTTTTCGCAGAAGGGCTAGCTTACTTATCCACGCTTATATCGTGCAGCGTTACTTTATTTGTGAGTGTTTATGTTCGCCTTATCGATATCCGTTGTAGATTCCTTTCTTTTTCTCCTGATCAAGTATATTCGTAATAATAAGCATACCTCTGCTATTAGTTTATAAAGGCAAATTTTAGTGTCAGCATTTGCGATGACGTTTAGTAAAATTCGTCTGCAGCTACATTTTGTTTTGGAATTTGTGATTTATAACAAAATCTTGCGAACAGAATAATGCGGTGCCACATACCTTGCACAATAGGCATACCCGGTAGTTCATCTATGGAAAGTGATGAGAAAGCAACAATCATTGTTTGATACTCTCAAGCCATGCAAAAATGTCAGCAGGATACATAATCAAAAGTTGATAGACAATGCCTTTACAGCGCAAAGCTCGCATCGTATCTCACGAAAAGACAGTCCAACAAATGAAAATTCGATAAAATGAACATGAAGCTATTACCTAAAAAAATGGAACGAATAGTATAACTCATTTTCTTAGAGCAGTGGCTCTCGATCAATTAAACAGAGATTAGTAAGAAACATTATGGGCCTCATGAAAATATCAATTTGTTGAAGCAATAAATGTCAGAAATTATCCAGTTTTTCTCGTATAAACGACTATAAGACTGAGATGCATGTGCAGCATTTCTCCAGGATTCTATGTCTTCTATAACAGTTCTCATTGTCTCTAACAAGTTACATCCCCAGGAGGGGAGAGACAGTGTAAAACTCAATGACAGTTCATACTATACAAAATACTTCTGCTTAATGACTCGTGCTAAGAAGTGCCACTCAATTATACCTAAAGTGTATTTGAGTTATATTAATCACAGTTAACAAACGCCTACCAATGGGCTCTTCCTCCTCTCCGAAAACTTCCAAGTTCACTCTGGGAATAAAGTCACAATCGATTACAGGATTGTCTCCGTTGTTACCAGTTCGGAGTTTAAAGGCATTTTTCTGAATGAAGATCACGTTGTCTGTATTGTCACAATATACTCGGGACAATGACGTCTTTCGTATCTCTTCAAGCTGAGGAAGAGTGAATGCGGCAATAGGGTCATTTCTTTCATACCAGAATCGATCACCATGTCGCAGATGTCTAAACTGCTTGGTCATAAGACAGGTGAACGTAAAACCTAGCACGCTTCCAAGAGTGGGAAACTCGAGGATGCCGCCTACAAATAAATCGATGTCTTTTGCATTTTCATAGGCTTGTCTCAGTTTCATGATCTCTGGGCGATTTATGGTATTACGAAGTTGACCAAAGTTATTACTTGGGCCTGCTCCACAAATCTCGCGGAATTTTACGAACGTTTGTAAGCCGTGATCCCTACCGCGGTGAATGTTTATTGCCGGAAGATCGCCAACAATACCATCAATAGTTGGTCCTTCTATTATTACACGTTCTCTTATGACGTCAACAAAGTTCCTGAGGAAGAAAATTTCATCATAATTAGTTAACTATTTTATTGAACGTAGGAATCTTGGATTGGTGAGACTTTGAGAAACCTAGTTAAAAACTAGATAACAAGTACTTCCAAGCGTTCTCTTTGTTAAATATAAATATATTTTTTAAATTGGCCTTGGTTTAACAAAACTTCGTTCTAAACTATCTTGAATCTGGCTAAAGGAGGTAAGTTTCAGAAGAAACTGTAGTGTTACGTCGGTGAGATTATAACAGGGATATTTGGTATTATCAACTGAGTTGATGACGTAAATTAGTCACCGTAAAGAGTTAAAAATCTGACGTTTCGAGCATTAGCCCTTCGTAAGAGCGAATGGATGAAGGGCTAATGCTTGAAACGTCAGCATATAAACTCCTTACGGAAGTCAATTCTCGTTATCAACTCAGTTGATAATCCCAAATTACCTTGATTGGCCCGAACCAGCACCACTCAGGCTGTCAACACTTCATCATCCTTGCAGCCAAACAATCTCGCAAAACGTATTTTTAATGAGTAGATGCTATGTTTCCGAGTGCCTGTTCACCAGTAAATTACAGATTATAGCAAAGTATGACAGGAACAAAAAATTGGCACAAGAGGCGCAGCCGAGTTTGTGACTTATATTCTATCAACATTTTGACGTATTTTGGGACTGACTACAACACACAAGCACGACAGTATAGAATATACTCGACGTCATCTATGCATAAGAACCGATCAAAAGGCATTTGTAGTTCAACCTATTGTTTAAACTGCTTTGATACATACTTATCCGGGAGCTGGGCTAGCTCGTTAACGAGACCATATAAGATTTCTCCAATGAGGTTAACTTTGAGTCCCAGTAGCAAGGGGGCTGGATTGAAAAAGTCCACTGCAGTACGTCCGCGATAAATGAGTTTACTGGAGCGCCTGACCCTTGAATTGGTAATTAATCCAAAGCTTGATCGAATTAAGGTGTGACCCACTCTCAAAACTGCTGTTCCAAAGTGGTTTAATATTCCTGCATTAATCGATGCATTATATCCCATAAAGAATTTACCAGGTGGCTCCAACAACAGACCTTCCCTTTCCAGCTAGAGCACATAGCCCACAAACCAAGAACAAAAAAATACAAAATCTTATTAAAAATGCAACGTTTTGTTTGTTTTCCACTTCTCCGTAATATTTTGGTTAAAATAAGCGACTTAGGCTGAAAACAATCCAAAGGAAAACACCCACAATAATTACCGAAGCCCTCGACAATCATGAATTAGAGACTGCG